GATGTAAGAGTGCCAAGTGTAGATTGGTAGTTAGAAGTTTGGAGTAATAAATTCTCATAGGGACTGGAGAGATGACTCCGCAGTTAAGAGCACTGGCTGTTCTTGCAGAGGACCTGGGTTTGGTTCTTAGCATCCTCATGGTGGCTAACAGTTGTCTGCAACTCCAGTTCTGGGGGGGTCTGACACCCTCTTCTGGCCTCTGTGGACATTGCACACAGGTGTACACTTACATACATGCAGGCAAAACACTGATACACATAAAATAAAACCCTAATATGCATAAAATAAAAATAAACAGGCCGGGCGTGGTGGTGCACACCTTTAATCCCAGCACTTGGGAGGCAGAGGCAGGCAGATCTTTGTGAGTTCGAGGCCAGCCTGGTCCACATAGTGAGTTCCAGGACAGCTGGGGCTACAGGGAGATCCTGTCTCAAAAAAGACAAAAAAAATTAAAACACAAAAAATTCTCACAGAACTCTGTCTGATGTAGCTGAGGGATGTATCTGTGCCTGTGTGGAGTTCCTCTGTCATTGAGGGCTCTATGATTTAATTAAATACTTACAATTCCTTCCTATCCAGGTAGTCCAAGTACTGCTTTTCTGGTCACCTTTAAAGTCTCCTGTCAAGTTTCAGTAAGTATTTCCTCTAGATTTCTCTCCTTAGTCTTTCAGCTCCTGCTAGAGTGCAGATCTCTTTTTCTCCCATTCCAGCTTTCTGCTCAAGTACACATGTCCTTTGATTTATTGTTCTCTCCCTGCCTCTATTTTACTAATTCATTCACTCATTCAACAAGTCTCTATTTGCCAGGTTGTGGGTGAGCCACAGACATGAACAAGACCCAAACCTGCCCTCAAGTGCACAGGCTAGTAGGGAGCCACAGGTGTAAACAGGTAATTAAAATACCAGTGGTGTGCTAAAGTGCTACCACTGAAGTGTGCGGAGAGTGTCAGGAGAGGAGCTAGGAATGGCAACAGAGAACAGAAGACTAGCTTCAGAGGCGACTTTTGAGGACCTTACAAGTCAGAAGAGGGACATTTTCAGGTGCCCATATAGCCCAGAGTCCTGGTCCTCACATTCTTCTGCCACTCTCCTTCTTCCATGCCTCCTTAATTTCTTTGCTCATTTATGAATTTAACGGCGCTAATTGGCATGGTTGAATTAGACTCTCCTGATTGACCCCTTTCAAAATCTGAGCAGTCCCAGCTGCCAAATCCAACAGTTTATCTGAGGTTCATTTGCCAACAGCAAATGACTGAGACTGTAAGCACTGAAGAAAGCTTTTAAAGCTTTTCTCTTTGCCAGATGTTTTCAGAGCCAGCGAAATGGTCTTTGTGATCGTGCTCACGCACTCCAGAAATGGGAGATGCAGAGAAGTTTGTGAGTGGGGAATGGAACAGAATGGCCTGTTACCTCTTTTACACTGAAGAATATAGTTTCCTGTTTGCAGTGAGATTTTCCTTGGTATAGGGTCCTCTTTCTCATTCTCTGTCTTATTTGATCTAAATTCTTGAGTTGGTTAATAGGAAGACTTGATTTTTACTAGAGAAACAAATGATCTGTTGTAGTTTGTGTAGTTTAGTATGTAATTCCAAATGAAAATTTAAAATATTACTACTTGAAATGATGCATTTGTTGTAGAGTATTAGGAAACAGAAAAAATCCCAGGGAATCAAAGCAAAACTATTTCATTATTTTATAGTCTATCTTATTAAGAATTTTGTGTAGAGATGGGATGTAGTTCAATGGTAGAGAACTTATCTAGACCTGGGATCAGTCCCTAGCAATGCAAAGAGAAGTAGATTACTTACATCCAAGTCATAGGGCAACTTGCTGAA